TGGTGGTGGGTTTTTGTGGTTGTGAGGATTTCTTGTGATTTTTTTAAGTTCCTATTAAAGGTTTTATTGCTGAGCTGTCTTTCAAGATCCTTTTTTAAAGAGTGAAGTCTTCCCAGGTAACTTGAGCCAGGGAATTCTTAATGCAGTTAAAATGATAAGTTCTAGAAAAGATAAATTTTTTATGCAGTCAGCAGACCCATTTTATTACCCCTTCAGGAAAATGAGAGAAAAAACTAAAAGTGGGATTAGTGATCTGAGTGTATATTGGTTGGTGATTTGTTGAATTGGCCTTTGTCTAAAAATACGAACACAAAAATACAGGGAAATGTTTGTGTTCTTAAAAAGCTTTGCTCTGTTGTCATCAGATTAAGATGTTATATTGAGGCATCTTAAAAAGGGCTTAATGAAGTCGGCATCAGCAGATCCAGGTGTCTTCAAGCTGCCTGGCCTGCCAGCTCCTCTCAGCTCTGTTGCTGGCGTAGATAATCTCTCTTCTTTTTTGCCTGAAATTTGTAAACTGTTGGGTTACAAAGAGGGCAGTAGATAGCAGTATGCTTTTCTTGAGGTTTCGTCTGGATCCAAGAGGGATGATATCTTTGCAGAAATGTGGAGTGAGATTACAGGCTTGCTTTGGTGGTGTTCAGTTGAGGGTGTGTTGGAGGATAGATTTCTAATATGTATTGTGTGTGGAATTTGGAATTTGGGAGCATCTTTTCTGTCTCATTAAATTGGCTGCTGATACTGCTCTGGAATGGCTTCAAGCCATGTGTACTGAAAACACACAGGTCTGCAGCAGCTGGAGAATCCACAGGGATGCTGAGTGTAGCGATGGCCTCTGTAGTCTTACAGAGCGGGCAGCCCTGCGTTCTTGGGGTTGTCACTGCTTGAGAATAGTTGACCAAATTGAAATGAAAAGCTTGAGATGGATTTTTCTAGGGTAGGATACTTTTGTGTTTCGATTGCTTTAGGAGTTTAGGTCCAGAATGAACTGAAGTACTTAACTTGTTCTGGGAAAGCTGTAACATTTTACCCGCAAATTAATGGGGGAGGAAAAACCCAAATAAATGTTTTCTTGGCTGAATAATCTTTCTCAAGATACTGTGCATCAGCTTTATGCTCCGCTTTTAGATGAGTGGCTGTTCTGTTTCACTGGAATGCTCGTGTTATTACACTTTGCAAGCTTAAAACAGAGTCTTGACTGAGGGGGCAGTTAACGAAATCCTCCTGGCTAAGATCTGATGAGTGCTTGCTGCAGGGGTGATGGTCTGCACGTGTGAACGCGATGGGGCAAGGTGCTACACCAGCTCAGCCTGCGTGGGGGGATCTTGTTCTCGATCCCTGTTCTTGCACGTCTTTACACTAGTTCTGGTGTTCATTCTTCTTACCCTTTTGAATCACTCTTTGGCGGGTTCGTTTTCCGTTGAACTCGTAAGCTGAGTGTTTACTAAGGAGCCAGGTGACTGTTGGTGTGGCAGAGGGGTGTGGGTGGATGTGGTGAAGACCATGTAGCTGAGCATGGGAGGAGGGAGCAGGACAGTAGCAGCCCAGGTAGTATTAGGGTTGTACTTTGTGCTTCATTGTCCACAAACATGGATTTAATAAGCACTGTGAATCCTTTGTCTAATGAGGACCTGCTGCATATGGAACCACACTCAAATCAACCTGGGGTTTGTATTGGCAAAGCTTACTTCATCTGTGAAGGGAGAAGAGATTTTTCCTTTAAAAAACTCTTGATTTGTGTTTCTTTATTTGTAGTTGGTCTTAAAAGCTTATACGTTTTCACAGTGGAGGTTACTTACCACAGAAGATGCTAACCTAAGCAAAACCAGAGGACATTTTGAATAAGCAACAGTATATATGTTTATTATTAACAGTCTTTTGCCTTCTGTCCCATCACACAGAGATTCTTGCCTCAAGTTTTCAAAATATGTAATATCCTTTCTAAAGGAGATGTGGCAGAAAGGCAGGATGATGCTGATGGGAATTGACTGTTAGGGGGACTACAATAGCTTTAGTTTCCAGTTAGGACTTCAGTTTCAGAAATGTGATTAGTGGACTGTATTAGGAGGAATAAGATTAAGTTGATCATGGCTGTTCGGTTCTTTCAAAACAAGATAACCAGTTTGCTGCCTCAGCTTACGTTTTTGTCAGTATCTCCATGGCAGTTGAATAGATAACTTGAGAACAAACAGAACAAAATGAAGAAAAAAAGCCCATACTGATTTTGGAAGAGAAGCAGATATTTGAAGACTTCCAGAGTCACCTTATGTTGTAGTAAATATTTTTGCAGGCAGTTAGTAGAACGTTTGCTTAGAAGTGTCAGCAGGCTTGCTGGGTTTAAAAGTGTAATTGTGAGTTAAGGCTTTGTGCTTTTATGTTTTGATTTTTCAGCTTCTTTTAGGCATTTAAGTTTAACCTGTATTAAGATACTGTTCTGCAAGAGCAGATTCATGTAAACTTAAGTTTGAAACACACTCTTACTTTTCATGGAAAGTGATTTGGACCAAATGGGGAGAGGAAAAAAAATGGAGATACTAAATGATAATGAGAAACGACCAAGCATTTTACAGCAAATGTAGAGGGTCTGTAATTTTAGTGTTTGAAGTGTATGGAATTTTTACACCTCTATGTTTGAAATTATTTTAGCATTGCAGTTCTGTTAAAGTTTTTTCCTGTAAGTGATAGAGGTAATAATACAGGTAGTAATAATGAGATAACATCTACTAATGCAAAAAAGGAGCACGAATCTTGCGTAGAATCTCTTCATTTTCAATTGTTATTTGTGTTATAAATGCTATTTCATGTTAAACCAGAGCTGTAGGCTGTGCACTGGGCAGCCTTGCCGCTGGGTGGAGCATGACTGACACTGTAAATGTGTTGTGTTCAGCCACCCGAGGGTGCCGGTTCCCACTTTGTGGTCCTGGCTCTGCGGCTTAAACGTCGTTGGCAAGAGCGTCTTGCACACAGGGCTTGGGTGCACAGATACGTAATTGTGCACCGCGAAGACAATCCTTTAGACAGTTTTTTTCTTTAGTATGTCACTGGATAAGGTATTCAAATAGAATGCTTTTTTTAACATGTTCTAGAGGCGTAGTTTGCTTCATAGTTTAATATTAGAGTTGAACAAGAAGTGATTAGTGACTTTCCATCTTCCTTTAGGCGTATGACTTAAAAATTGCGTGATGTGTGATGAGTTGGAGATTCTGAACAGGGAGATTGAAAGGTTGTTGCAGAACAACAGCGTGGGAGAAGACACTTTAAACTCAGACTGTCTTCAGCCATCAGTGACTGACTCCCTGGATATAATCACTGATTCAGACAATGGAGCAAAATACGTGTTAGAGCAGGTATTCAATGCCATGAGATATAGCACTAGGGTCTTTAAAATTAGTTTATTATATTGTCTTTATTTTTTTAATTTTTTTCCTCTTTTTGGAGTGGGAATAGTTGGCTGAGGGAAACAATGTAGATAATGTACGTAATCCTCTATAGAGGAGGTACAGGGAGGGAAATACTGACGTGGATCTAGCTATGCAGTCATGGCTTTTTTCCTAATTCTGCTTTGCTACAGTCATGCAAATTTTTAGATTTATTGTTTGTGAAATAATAAAGTGATCCACTGATAAAAGTCAGATTTGGGGAGGGGTTTTGTCTTTTCTTCTCTCCTTATTTTTGGGACGATGACATGGCATTGGAGAAGACCTAGAGATGATCATTGCTTAGGAAGTAAAAAGTGTTTCTAAACAGCAAAGATGCTTTAAGAGTTGGGGGCTTGAGAGATGGGGGGGGACACGACACATGGACGGATGTTCTTTAAAAAGAAAAATCAGACTGTGTATTGGCATGTGTATAAAGGATTATCTGCTCTGTCCTTAAATTTGTCTGTCTCCCCACCTCGAGTGTTAGCTATCACTTTTTATATCTTTGAAAGAATTATTAATGTTTAAGTTATTTCCTACTCCTACTGTGGCAGTTCCCCTGCTCCTTTAGTTGCAGAATGCTGGCACAGAGAGTTTGTGTCCAGTTTTGTTCTTCTGTCTTTACTGATGTATTTTATAGGCCAGTTCAAATGTGACTTTTTCTATCCTGTCCATCTGGTCCTCCTTTTCCTCCCAAATTCTTTCAGTGGTCATGTGGTTTGGTCGACTACTTTGGGTTAAATGCAGGCATTTCATAGGGATTTTCAAGCTCTTGCGCTTGGAAGCAAGCAGTCAGCGTTGATGTTTCATTGCCACATGCATGTGAATTGGGACCCCTGGACTAAACAGTTGTTCACATGCTTTAAGTGAACGCCGTGTGACTTTGAAATGTTTTCCAGGGGTTGATTTTTGGGATAATGTTGTTGATTTTAATCTACTGTCCTTGAAATAAAGCTTTGAAATTTTCTGTGTGGCAAACCTTATTAGTGAAAAGGACAGTGATAGGGAGTATTCCTTAATTTTGTAGCTCAGCTATAAATTTTTATTATCCCACTTTGGAAAGCCACTGAGTAGCCACTTGGTTTTAAATCCTCAAAGCTGTAGGTGTTGGCTTCTGTGATGAATTTTAGTACAAACTGGTCAGTCTTCCCTGCTGTAACCTTGGGCATGTTGATGGAGTTTAAAAGCATTTCTGTGTTTTCATTGAACAATACGTGCTTATTAAATTTCACTCTCAGAATGCTTTTAAATACTGTAAATGGCATAGATTTGTTGATTACAGTTTGTTACTGTTCTGGAAGTCTTAATGGATCTTAAATGAGTTGATGAGAGTACAATCGTGTTTATTTCAAAGGTCTCAGCTGTTGTTAAAGTGGTGGAGCTTGTACTGCTTTACTTTGACTTTTCTTTCCAATTTCAGTGTCTTTCTGAAAGTATAAAACTATCAAGAATAACAGATTTGATTTGTTATGTAATAGAGGCAAAACAATTCCAAATTGATGTAAACAATAGTAAGATAAATTCATAAATATATCAGTGCCTTATTTTGTCTCTGTTTGTTTTTCCAGGAGCCAGCAGGAAAAGGAGGATTGATAGTATTTGGTCCTGCTGACAGCTCAGAGACTCAGTCTGGCACTTCTGAATCAGGAAATTCAGCATGTGCTGGAAGGATAATGCTGAATGACTCTGATCCTTTGCTGCCCTCCTCTGGCTCTCCTTTTCATTCAGCTCTGCAGGAAGAAACCATTCGAACCTCTAATGCTGTGTCAGGTAAAGCATATAGAGGACATTGAAGAGACTTCTCATTTCTTTACATTTTATCTGGAATTTAAATCTCAGAATTTGGATTACCTCTGCTTGTAGCTTTTAACATTTCTTCGTCTTCCAAGGTAAACAAAGACGTAAACTTTTAACTGTTTTAACTTGTTCCCTTACTTCCATTGCAGCATTTTTCTGGTGTGAATGTAATTTTAGTGTTGTTTTTTAAAAAAAGATAGTGATTTTTTTACGGGGGAGCTTAATGGAATTTCTTATTGGATTGAAGCAGTTTCAGCTTTTTACCAGTGTACTACAGGCTTAAAATTCACTTTTTATTCTGGCTGTAATGTTAAAAAGTAATCAGTTACTATTTAAATTGATGTTCTGGAGTCTGCTGGTTTTACAGCGACATGTGTAGTGTCTTACTGAAATGACTCGTGTTACACCTTGAGTGTTAAGTTTTTCATGTATCTGCATGGATGTTTATGTTCCAATAGCATTGACAGTTAATGTTTCTGTAATAGCACTGTTAAGTTAATACTAGAAAGCAGAAGAGTTGCACCATAGAGAGAGTGTTTGATAAGGCAGAACAGTAATGCAGCTGATGCAGTGTGAAATAAGGAGGCATCACCAGTGTCCACTGCAACATTGGGAAAAGCTTCCTAAAGGTTGCCTCTGAAAGCTTGTAGCTGCAATATGTACAGCTGTTAGAAATATCTTTGATTCTTTTCTTTCAGCAAGTACTGTTGTTTAGGAATTCGGTTAATGTTCCCTTGTCTTACCTGTGCAGTTCTTGAGCCAGGAATATGCATGTAACTACTCCAAAGGTGGTTCTTGTTGTTGTTTTTAAAGTACTGTTTCTGTTGCCCAGTTCATTGGGGTATACTTACTGCTGCCTGTTGTGGTTTCACGGGAGCAATGTAACTGCAATGACCGTAAAACATAGTGTCTGCATTCATTTAGGAGTGCATACGTGGCATGCAGCTCATTTAAAACATTGCACCGTGGTATAATGCTAACTTTAATACTTGTTCAAACCAGGTTTTTCCTGAATTACTCAAAATGCAGTCTCAGATCTGTCTTCTCAAAGAAGAGAGTCTCCTAGTATGCTGGAAAAGACTTTTGAGAAAAATTGAGATTCTGGTTGTCAGCACAGATTTTATTTTTTCTTTCTTTTTTTGCTTTCCTGTTGCTCCATCTGTGGTAATTGGAGGTTCTTTGCTGGATTTTGGGGTTTTTTTTGGTTGTTTTTTTTGTCATTTTGATGAAAAGCTTTTTGTAAATAACTATGTCAAGGAGCAGCCTTTCTGCAGTTTCATTCAATGCAGATTTTTTTTTCTGGAGAGATGCTTGGGAACATTTTTATTTTGTTCTTTTCTGTATAATTTCTTCTACCTAATAAGCCTTGTTAGAGAAACAATGAAGGGAAAGTGTATTGCTTTATCCTGAATGCCCACCAGTGTTTCTGAAACAAAAATAGCAGCTAAACTGTTTAATAGACGAGATAACAGACCTTTTTTATTGTAACAAGGAAGACTGGGGTATTTTTCTGGTTTTACATTTTGTCCAAAACCTCATTATTCTTTCACTAACCATGTATTACCTAAGCAGCAGTGGTTTTGTAGCGTTGAATTTATTTAAACTGGCTGTTGTTTCTACCCTGTTTCTTACCCTGCTGCAGGTAATCAGCAGTCCTTTCTACAAGAAAATGTTGTTGATAGCAAATACCATCCTCACCTTTAAAGCAGTAACTGTCTGTACTGTCTGTCTGGATGACTCCTTGTTCTGCTCCATGGTCTTTCACACTGGTGCATGTGTGCTTGCTGTGTCCACATAAGGAGTGGAACCGCTACAGGATTTTCCCCAGACAAACCCCGGGGAATAAGTTCATACCATGAAAGGATTTTTTTAAAGAAATATCAGAAAAGTCAGAAATCCTAAGGCTATTTAATAAAATATGTCAGTATAGTGTCCAAACCAATATATTTAACATAGTGCTTTGCCTTTGAAGGAATTGGTCAACTTTTTGTTGATATTTAGCGGCTATTAGTGGCTTGAAATTCAAGTAAAATATTTGTTACAATAACATAATGAGATTGCATCAGAATATTTAGTAATTACTTAGGTTATGAATGTTTTTGAATCTGAGTTTTGAACCTTATGTTTCTCTTCAGCGTTTCAGGGTGGGGACAGTGGTGTCCGTGCTATGGAACAAGCTGTAAGTTCACAGCCAGTGCCATTAGAATCTGAATCTAATACTGACAACATGGAAAATCGTTCTCCGGGTAAGATTTCTTCCTTTTAAATTGAGCAGAAGATAGGCTTATTTGTCCATTGTGTGTCTATATACATAGATTTCTAAAAACCAGAAGAGTTTGTAACAGCTGGATTATGTTGGCATAGTGTTCAGTGATGTGCTTAATTGCTACTGCTGTTGTATTGCATTCACAAGAAAGCATTTTGGCTGTTTTTCGGATCATAAAATGAGGTGGAGATACATATAATCACAAAGAAAATAATACTATGTTGGAAAAAAAAACCCTTAAGAAAAAAAAATCTTCCTTCACCACCAGTGTAATAACTACTCCCTTGTTTTTAGCATCAGTTTTGGATGAGAAAGGTGAGCAAAGCAATGAGGAGGAACAAAAAACGATCAAGCCTACAAGTAAAGAGTTCAGGAAAACCTGGGGGTTTCGAAGGACTACAATTGCGAAGCGAGAAGGGGCAGGAGATGCTGATGTGGACTCTAGTGAACAGCAGCCACAACAGCAGCAGCAAAGCTTAAACCTCAGGCGTAGTGGACGGCAACCAAAGCGAACAGAAAGAGTGGAGGAATTTCTTACCACAGTGAGACGCAGAGGGAGGAGGAGTGTTCCTGCTGCTCTGGAGGATTCAAGTGAGGCAGCGTCCTGTCCACCTACAGATGCTGAAACTGCTTCAGAGGACAGTGTTGAGAGCACTCCAGAAATAAAACCTGTAACTCGGAGGATGGTCACTAGGAGCAGTAAGGATCAGAAAGGCTCTAAAAGCAGACTTACAAAAGAGGAGGAAGAAGAGGAGGAGGAAGAGGAGGAGGAGGAGGAGGAAGAAGAAGAGGAGGAGGAGGAGGAAGGTGATACTTCTGATAGTGATAGTGATGGATTAACACTAAAGGAGCTGCAGAATCGACTAAGAAAGAAGCGTGTTGAGCAGAAACCTGGGCAGGTGATGTTGAAGGACATACAGAACCGCCTGAGGAAAGGAGAGTCAGAAGAAGATCCTACAGAAACCAGTGACGCCCAGTCGGATAAACCAGTTGAGTCTGAGTTGTCTGTCAAACAAGAGCCTGAGACTGCAGACAGCACCGAGATCGCTAGTCAGGTGGTTGTGTCTGAGGAAGACACTGAAGATCTTCAGGTTCAGGAGGTAAAGCCTGCCCTTGATGCGAAAGGGGTCACAGATGAAGAACCTGAAGAACTGCCCAAAAGCAAACCTGAGTCTGAGATTTATGACCCCAATGCGCTGTATTGTATTTGTCGTCAGCCTCACAACAACAGGTAGGCAAAGGTTTCACCTAAAAATGCGTGCGAGTAGTTGGAATTTTTTGTGTGATGAAGAATGAAACCAAATGCTAATGCTAACTTTTTGAGTGTAGTAAATGGGCTGTTGGGTTTGTTTGAACTTTGGAGGGGAGTTTATAACTAATACTTAGAACAGGGGATAAACAAATACAGAAATGAGCAGTGAGGCAGAACAGTATACCGGTGCTTTAGTATCTGCTGCTTGAAGTATCTGTTGGGCATTGTCTGTTCAGTTCACAATGCTTTACTGTTCCTTGGTGGTTTGTTTTTTTTTTTCCAGGTTTATGATTTGTTGTGATAGATGTGAGGAATGGTTTCATGGTGACTGCGTGGGTATTTCTGAGGCTCGAGGACGCTTGTTGGAAAGGAACGGTGAGGACTATATCTGTCCCAACTGCACCATTCTGCAGGGACAGGATGAGCCTGTTTCAGAACTAGACCAGCAGGAAGCGAAAGCGGGGCAAGTAAATGTGGATGGCACAGAATTCACAAGCATAGGAACAATTGAACAAAAATCTGTTGAGGACCAAGGAATCAAGGGTAGGATTGAAAAAGCAGCAAATCCAAGTGGGAAGAAAAAACTGAAGATATTTCAACCTGTAAGTATTTTAATTGTTTCTTGTTTTTCATGTTTTACCAAGTACATTGAGATGATGGCTTACTTGTACGGCTGTAAATCTGATTTGTTTTTTTTAAAGCTAAACATGAAGCTGAACAACCTGCTAGGTATTACTGTTAGCAGAAGTTTATCCATAGATCTGTCAGTACAGGAACTAAAACTGAAAGTGTTGTTTTGAAGTGGGGGATTTAAAAGTTTTATGTAGTGTAAGGAAATTCTTTGTGCTGTTCTGCCTTTCTAAATACTGTTTTGGAAGTCAAACAGTAAAGTGTTCTTCTAATAAAAATATTACAGTTCTGGACTGGTTTATACTAGCTTTGAAATAAACAAATTTGGACATTTTCAGCGATAGTGGAACCTCTTACTTAACATTGGCAAGTCTCTGTGGGAATCGATTCCAGCTGTACTTCCTCTGTACTTCCAATTAGTCTTTGAAGTTCTGATTTTTGTCCTGATGTTTCTTCAAATTATTAGTACATAGAGAATTGTTTTGTACTGCCTTTTTTAACATAAAAGTGTGTATTTTGAGTTACTGCAAATTCTGGCATGAAATACAAAAGTTAAAATTTTGTAGTAGTAAGTTCCATGCCCACTTCAAAATACAGGCAGAGAAGCTTCTTCAGCTCACTGTACAGAAATTTAAGAACTTCATGCTACAGTGGTTGCCTTTGTACTGCCTCAGCTACTGTAGCAGTGCCAACATCTTGAATGCTTCCCTATTCTTCTTGCTGTGCCTTGAAGAGCATGTTCAGTGTATTCGCTGCTAGAATGCTACAGCTATTCGTATTTTTTCTGTATGAATTTGTTCTTTAATGCCTAATCCTTAAACTTTGAAATCATCCCTCGAGTAAGTGTTACAAGTTTGAATATAAGCGTCTCTCGGGAGGGATCTTGCTGTTGCAGTACGTTTTCTACAAAACGTTTATGGAACAGCCCCCCTTCCCGCCTCCAGTCAAGTTAAATAGCAGAGTGAGCTTAGTGGATAGATCAGAACACTTTGAGCTTAATATATAAATATTTATTATTTTAAGATAAAAGTGTAGAAAACAGTGTTTTTCTCGAAAAATGCTTTCAGATGCAGCTTCAAACACATCTGTACTTCTTTGTACACAAAAACGTTTTTTTAGAGTCCAGTTCTGTTGGTGTCGGTCTGCGTTGCACTGACCGTGTTAGTATTAAGCTGCTTCTGAGGATCACCAATTACTCTTTGACATTAGCATACTAACAAATTACTTGGACATGTTGGACGTGTCCTTTAGTGAAAGAAAAACATGATTATCATGAACTCATTGCCTCTTGTGGAAGAACTGTTCTATTTTAGGTATTCTTTTGGCATTTGGAAATGGACTGCAACTACTGGTGTTTGCCAGGCCGTACCACATTTTGAGAGAACTGAACAGTCAAGTCTGTGTTTTAGCCCCTGCTGCTGTCCCTCGTACCTCAGTTAAAATTCCTCTGTGGTTTGTGCAAACAAGCCTCACGCTCTCTCTGCAGAATTCCCTGCCTGTTTGAGGCAGAGAGATCATGGCTATTTCATACGTTGGTGTGCTGAAATCACTCTGTTACAGTGACTGAACAGTCTCATTATTCAGTTTATCTGTTCTCTCAACGCCAGTATTCTAAGCGCTTTGAGAAGGACTGACTCCTTTTTGGTTTTGTTCGTAAGCACCTATAGCTGTAGAATTTTGCTTTGTGATTAAAATTCCTAGAAATTGTGTAGGTACAGACATCAGCACTGAAAGTCCTGTCATCATCTGAGTAAATGCCCTTAATTAGAAATGACAGCTCAGTTGGTCTGAAGTTCGAGGTGCTTCTTAGGAAACGTGAATTGATACTTCTTTCTTGTACTTCAGTTGAGTGTGTGGAATAGTATTTTAAAGCATAAACTTAATTTTTACGGGAAAATTCCCAAGCCCAGGTTTTAGCAGACTGCAGCAAGTAATGCTGTTTTACTGACTTTTGACTGGGGAAAAATAAGCAACACTATGCAAATTTCTTAATGACTTTTTTTTTACTGGAAGTATTCCTGAAAAGCTCGCTTTTGGTAATTACAAATGGCAGCTTATTGATAAGGGAGAACTACTGTTTAGAACTGCAGTAGTTCTGGGTGTTGGGTCAGTGTTGTAACGTTTTTAGGAGTCATGTAGAAGAGTGAGACTAAAGGCATAACACACAGAGGCGATATGTTGGAGCCTAAAGAGCTTTCAAATATTTCTAGACTTTGACCTAAAGTACTCTGTTTTCAAGGACTGCTGCTTTCTAAACCTTAACATTTGAAGAGGAAGTGCTTAATGTAAAACGCTTTGGTAGGGATGGAGAGTAGTCGTGAAGCCGAGGGAGTGCAGATTGGGTACGCAGACTTCCTGGTGTGTAAGAGGTGTTAGGCTATGGGAGAATTGTCTAGAACGGTTGTGTTTATGTAAGTTGGAGACTTAAAATTGGTAAAGCTCTAGAGCGAGAACTGTCTGTACACCTGAATAGCTGAGTGCTTCCTTTTGCGTGTGTGCGTGGTCGAGGGCAGCGGCTGATGGTGGCACATAAGTAAAATGTGTTTTAGAAATCTTGCTCTTGAGAAACCAGTTTTGCGTTATTAAGAGATTTCTCACGTGATGTAGATGATCAGAAAAAAAACATTTGTGTGCTTACGGGATCTGAAAATCTAGGAAAGCCGCCCCCCCCCCCCACTTCACTGCTAGCAGCCCAGCCGCTTGAAAATACAACATGTTCTGAACACAGAGTGGTACAGGAGTGAAATTGTTAGGTTTGTGTGGGTGGTTTCTGTTACCTCAGGAATGAGAGTTGTTTTCATGCTGGCAGTTGTGCCAGTCCCTGACAGTCGTAGCCGCGGTCTGTGCGCGTGGTACGTAACCATTTCTGCGCGGTAGAAAGGTGATCCTGTTGTTTCCTCTCTGAAGTCTGAACTTGCTCCATTTCAATCCCGTAGGTAATTGAAGCTCCTGGTGCATCAAAGTGCATCGGTCCTGGCTGTTTTAATTTGGCTCAGCCTGATTCTGTGTATTGCAGCAATGACTGCATTCTCAAACACGCTGCAGCCACTATGAAGTTTCTGAGTGCCGGCAAAGATGCAAAACCGAAACCTAAAGAGAAGATCAAACCAAAATCTGAAAAACCCGGCGTGCCAAAATCTCAGCTGCAGGTGAGCTTATGTTCATGGCCCTGGAGCACAGCAGCTTATTTCTGTGCTCTCCTTTTTGAGTCCAATGAAATTGCCAAATCCTGCATTGAAGAGGAGCTTGCTTTTTGTTTTAATTTTTTTCTGTTCTCTTGCCTTTTTCTGTGTTGAAAGCGTCGTTTAATTCTTCTGACAGTGAAATGTTTTCCTGTCACTTTAAGATCTTTATCTAGAGGCAATTGTTTTTTGCAAGGGCTTTCAAAGTGGCAGTGCCCTTTTTTAAAAAAATTAATTCATTCAGAATTAATTTACTTCAAAGAAAAAAAAGTATAAGCAGTGCTTATTTTTTATTTTAATGTCATTTCAAATTAATTTTACCTTAACCCCAAATTACTGGGTTTTGGGCAGTAATTTGGATTTACTGTGAATAATGAACTAATGTGACTGCATTGTATGTGTGCTTTGGGAAGCAAAAAAGGTGAAATAGAAGCCTTCTCCTTTCCCTTCTGAAACCACTATAAAATGAGCAGTAGTTTTTTTGAACAAACAAAAAAAAACCCCAGCTTTGACGGTAAACACTATTGTTTTGAGGTGGTTTCTTTACCATTCTTTTTTCCTGAAGTTGCAGTGTATGTTACTTTTGCTTTATAGAGTGGGAAATCGCATCATTTCAAGTGTATTTACACGAGCTTGCTGCAAAAGCAATTTGTGTGCACGCATATAGTCACATCGCTTCTTGCTTGTAAAATGTAGTTGATGACGATTAGTAATTAAGCTTCTTTTAATCATACAGGCAGGTATTAAGCCTCTTTCAAACCAAAAGAGACAATTTCCTGAGAAAAGAGAGGTGAACGTGAAGAAGACTGTTCTGACAACTGCCAAGACTGAGGCAAACACTCCACCTCTTGCTAAAGAGCCAGCAGCAGAAAACAGCACACCGTCCTGGGCAAGCGATCATAATTACAATGCTGTAAAGCCTGAAAGGACTGCTGCCATTTCATCTTCACTGTTGTTCAAATGTATGTATTGCATAGGGATATTCCTGAATAGTCATTTACATTTTCTTTGAATATCCATCCATTCTTGGCTCTGCAAGACTAGGGAGTTTAGGATTTGGGGGTTTTTGCTTAACGTGGCACCCAACTATTCTTCTCCACCTTCAAAGATTCGCACACAGAGATGCACACAAATGGGAGACACTTTTAGAGGTTTCATTTGTATCCTATGACAGTTGTGTGATTAAGAGCCTGTCAATCTGCCCAGCTGATTTCTGGATGAAAACTACATGATTAAGCTTTAAATTTTTCCCATAAAGACAATAACTGTGTCTAATAATCTAGAAAAGGTAAGTATCGATACGTTTGTGTTAAGCTTTACAAAAAGGTTGCACAGTGTGCCCCGCGAATCAGCAGCTGACTGTACTAATTTGGATTGTATTTTTGTAACTTAGATTTGGCACCTATCTCTCAGGTCTTGCATTTTCAGTGCTAGTGCCGAGAATGAGATCTTCAACGTGGTATCCAACGATACTTTACACTGCTGCAAACAGCTTTTAACTGTCGAGTATATCCAAGTTCTTCCTGCTGCTTTTCTTCCTTACATGAAATAATTTAAGGACCATTCTTTTAGGTTTGGGGGGAGGCAGTACTGTCGTTTTGTCCTGTTCCCCTCCCCTTCTGTTTATATGTTCATACTCACACATTATCCACACACAAAACACATCCTCAGTGGTTATTAGGCAGAGATATTGCCTTGCATATTTTTGCAGGTTTTGAATAGCATCCTTGTAACTCACGTAAAGGTAAGTAAATGCTGTTTGTAGCCTGAACAAGTCTTTCTGCTAATGATGGGTTTTGATTGACTCAGAAGTAGTTTTATAATGCAGTGGTGGAACTTCAGATGAAGTCTTACATTCCACATTTGAAAAACACATGGTGCCTAAGGTTTAATCACGTGAAGATTAATGAATTCAGCAATGCACTTCTCACAGCTTTCTGAATCACACTTTAGCCAATTTACATTATATTTTCAGGAATAAACCGAGCTTTAAACACTTTATACGTAAAGTAACTGAGAAGTTTATAAATTATCTTCTAAGATGAGATTTTTTTTTTTAGATGTAACTTTTAAACACTGAGGGAACACCAGCTACCTTAAGTTGCTGTTTATTAGTATAGCACATAGCAGACTTACTAGGCATGTTGTAATTGCCTTTACCCACATCAAAGTTTAAATGGTTATAATTTTTTACCTGCGTATTTTTGTTGCATATTTTGTTACTTGGGCCCTGTGCCTTTTTTACAGTGACCTCTTAAGATACATATTGTGATAAACTCGCATTTTTTTTTCAAGCTGCTTTTAAAGAAACTGTAGCTTTTTTGTCAAAACCAGTAGTGTTTTAAACATAACTAAAATTAGGCCAGAAATGCTACATAGATGAAACCGTAAGGGCTTGTTTTACATGTCAAATGTTTATGGCACTTTCTATCTCAATATAATTGGGATGATCCATGTAACCATATCGCTGAAATTGTCCTTATTGCTACAGGTTTATTTTTCTAGGAGACAGGAATACAGGTTTTGGGGGTTTTCTAAGGGGCGTTGCTCCTAAGTTTTCCCACACTGGAGGTCATACAGATTTAACCAATTCCCGTAGAAAATTGGATTCCTTTAGCCAAGTTGTTAAACTGGTTCAAAAAATATGTGTATGTACCAGACTTTAATAAGGAATAGAAACCAACCTAGTTCGTGTGATGAAGAAATCGCGTATCAAATGCAAGGAAGAGCTTCAGCTTGCTGTTACTAAGGTAAGTTGTACTAATCTGTGGGGACTCTGCCGTTACTAAATTCCTGGGTAAATTGTTTGTGTATTTGTGAAAAAAATGTGTCCTGTTTTTTGATGGATGGGTTTGATCTGTAATCTTCCTGAGAAGCTGCCGTTGCATCATCTTAAAGAGTATTCTACAAGATTTAGTTTATTTAGCAAAACCTTTATGTGCTGTTCAAAACAGAAGTTACAGCGTTACGGACATTTGTGAGAGTCCTCTCACATCGCTTTGGGTGTCTGAAAGATAGAAAAGTCTGAGCTAGTCTGTCAAGAAAAACACCTTCAGTGGACAAAACATGTAATGTGGTTTAGACACTAATCTTGGAACCAAGTGACTCGTTGTTCAGAAATGTGTATTTCTGAACATTGGTTCTGAACGACGTTTAAGGTGACTAGTTCAGACATCCGGATGTCTCATGTTTGGGCTTCAGGTCACCTAGAGGAGGCTAGGGGCGGGATTCTTCCATATACAGTATTTCAAAATACCACCCGTGTCCTCCCGCAGCTTCAAGCCACGTTCTGCAGATCCTCGTTTGTAACTTCAGGGCGTGAGGCCCTTTAGGACTCGGGGGAACTTGCCATCCTGAGCAGAACTGCTCTCTCTAATGCTCTTTCTCCCTCAGTCAGTTGAGCGGATTTCAGACAGGGCCTTACTGTTTACTTTTACTCTGTTCTTGTCAGATACAAGATGTCGTTGTTGTTACATATGACAGTAGTTTCGGTAAGTAGTAGCAAGAAGAAAACCAAGCCACTTTTACAGAGGTACGGGATGACAGGAGCATGTCTGCATCCAAACCCTGCCACCACGCCCCCTTCTCTCCTCCCAGCCTGTTCCGCATCTAAAAAAAGCGCTAGCAGCGTGGAGTTAGAGCAGGGATTTCTTTTTCGTTGTTACCCCATTAGTTTGTGTTTTTTCACTTCCTGATTAATTTTTTTTTTT